TCTTGGCGCAAGAATTTTTAAGAATAGAAATCTTTTTTTAAGAAAAAGGATGTAGATAGCTATATAATCCTCAGTCATGAAATATTATCGCTTCAAGATAATTTTTCTTAGTCTAGGAAAAAAATCTTATATTGGAAACAAGAAAAAGTTTTGGGTACAAGATTTTTTTCTTCTCGCAAGATTTACAATGTAAAAAATAAAATACATTAATTGTTTTACAAAGATAATTTATCGTTAACTGCTAACTGCAAGTTACACTACTTGTTTTGTTGGGTTCTACAGTAATTTATAAACTTTGCCACCTCGGTTTCGTTGTAACTACATGACAATCGTTACTTTCCGTAGTATTATAAGATACTGTCACGAGAACTTCAGATTTTTCAAGAACTTCTTGTGGCGTACCCTAATTCGTATGCAAACTGTACCATTTTGCATGCAAACCGCATGAAAATCACGTGGTTCCATTTGTTCACTGAGGTACTCATGCGGTTACCTGCGTCCATTCGGTCTCATGGTTCCGTGTAAAGGCAAGAAAAAATATGAGAAAGTGATTACGATGATTTCAGAGGAGAAAGGCCTTGAATTTTTAAAATGAATTAGCTTATAGCTACCTATACCATAATTTTATGTCTCGTGTATACAGAATTATAAGACTTTATTTCCCGTTTGCGATACATTTCAAGTAATCCAAAAACATCTTTCTTCGCATATCAACGGCGCAACAAAGAATTATATTAGGAATATCACTATCAATATCCTAAATAACTGTCAACATCTCCGCTAAGAATTTCAAACGGGAAAAGACGGCCAAATTCAATTTTCGTTTTTTTGTGGTTTTTTTTTAATTTTATTTTTTTATTATTTTTTTTCACCGATCATGTGATCAAATTGTTTCATTATTTTGGTCACATGACTTTACGATTTGACAGTGCTAATTATTCCCAGTCAACTGGGAAACAACTGGGTTTTTTTAAGCAACCCCGCCCCGCGTAAAAGCGGACAGTATATTAATACAAGATTGAGATCATCAAATTGTTTCATCATTTGGTCACATGACTTTACGATGTGACAGTGCTAATTATTCCCAGTCAGCTGTTTTCAAGCATCCCCGCCCCGCGTAAAAGCGGTCAGTATATTAGAAGATCATATTTTCGATAAAAGGGGATCATAAGTATTTATGGAGCTCTAAAATGAACATAAAACGTTTGCAATTAAACAAATATTTCCTATATTTTGTTGCATTGACCTTAGTTCGGATGTTTGTGACCTTGTTTACGTTTGAATAGATTAACTGTTGAGTAACGAATTTCTGACGTTTAATTCAAAGCTACGCACATGATTGGATAATAAAATTAGAAACCTATTTAACTGATGACAAAAATAAATTGATAACAAAAACATGAAGTCATGTGACCAAAATGATGAAACAATTTGATCACATGATTTAACAAAAATTGAATATGGAACTAACAAACGTCTTTTCTCGTTTGAAATTCCTAGCGGCGACGTTGACAGTTTCGTGATTTTCGTAATATATATGCATGTTTAAATATTTGTACGGTAGAAGTATGCATAATTGATAATAATAATTAGTATTTTTGCACAAGTGAACATAACAAATTCTACAAGTTGATTGGTCAAATTTGACGTATTAAGCTGTGGCGGCTTGCCATTTTGTGGATGTTATACTGCCATAAAGAAATAAGCGAAAGTAAAATAAATTCAGTCCCAAAAAAAAACCCACAAAAATACTAAACAATTATTCGCCTCAGGCTCGGTGATTATCGGGGAATATTCACCTCGAGTTTGTCACGGCGAATATTCCTCGTTAATCACCTCGCCTTCGGCGAATAATTGTTAAATAATTAGTACGCAAAGCATGTCACCAAAGTTGCTCAAACGTGTAAATATTTTTCAAAATTAATCGTATTTTTTATTTTTTCAGATCACTTACGAAAAACGCGATAAGCAGTGAAGAATGGAAATTAATAAACAACTTTTTAAAAATTATTAATTAAATACTGATTGGGGGATTAGACAGGGGCATAATAATTCTTGATATCATGCTTATCATACTAAATAAAATGTTATACTAAATGAAAGGTTATACTAAATAAAACTCGTTATACATTGAACCCGCGTGTTCCGTTTTTCTCTGATACTATTTATCTGACTAAACAAATATGGAAGCTTTCGAACGACAAGAGTGTCAGATACTTTGTGAAAACAGCATATTGCTGTATTGTTGCGATCCTCATTATGACTTGGTTTTTACTATAGCAAGTTTACCTTTTTTTTAAATTGCATGGGACGTGTTGTCATTTTAGTTTAGTTTATAAATAATCCGTCTGAGCGAAGGAATTGTGTTTATATAAATTTTCCCAATAGCAAGGCTCTTGTTTCTAATTAAAGTTGGATGGCGCAGTATTTAATAAGGTAGGTATACTACAATGCATTACAGTTATCTTGTTATTTAGTCAAATTTCAGCTTTGTTGTTTTTATTCTTGCACTGTACTGTAGTGTACTGTAATTTCATAAATACACTGTACAAAATTATAGCGTAATATTTGTGTTTATTGCCTATAGTTTGACCCTATTGTGTGTGTCTATGTACTGTGTCACTGTGATACATAATTATGTACATGTTTTCAGTTAAATTGTTTAATAAATTTTTGCTGAAGTATGATGCCTGTTTGTATCTAGTTGTGGATAGATTTTTACATATATGTGCACACAGTTATATTTTTCAATTTTCATCTGTAAATAATATTGCCATACTTGTGTGTTGTTCTAATATTACTGTGAATAGTGACATACTTTTGCATTAGATTGCTAATTTTAGAGATTACAGTGTATGTATAAAATAATAAAATAAAAATTTTCTTGTTATGATTTTGTACAAAGAGATCTATTTGAGTGGTTGACTGGTCTTGAACCTGGTCAGGTAATGAAGGTGATGGGGTAGAAAGTTGTAATGAAAGTGATAGGGCAGAAAGAGGTGACCAGTTAAGTGATGAGGATGAAAGTGAAGAGGACAAAATCACCCATGCTGTACCATTCAAGATTTCAAGTGCATCGGTGCTGCTCATGAGAAAAACTACCAACATAATTTTGGAACAGGCATACCTTGCTCTTCATTGGCCAGAGCAATTGAATCCAACAGACTCAAGTGCAATTGATCTAGACTATGGAACAGGATGGTCACATGTTGGTTATATTGCTTCTGAACTATGCGAGTATTTGCACCCACTAATTGCCGCAGGAGATATCTTAGAGGTCTATGTTCAGCATATCAAGTATAGGGTTGAGTTTTTTAAAATAGGATTTTATCAAAAAATTTTCATAAAGCAATGTGGTGAGTGGGAGACTCAAGTGGTAAGGGTGAGCATGAGTGTACGTTGACAGATGTTTGTGATATAATAGCAACTGACTAGGTTTAGCAAGTTATAGAAATGCTGTTATTTCAATTGGCTAACTTTTTAGATTTTTTTTCAGCATTTTTAAATTAAACAAAAACTAGGTTAATCACAAGTAGGTGCAATTAAAACAATGTCTGTCATGCACACTCATGCAATTAAGTACATAATTGTAACATGTGCTGTACTAAATGAACAAATAAATAGTTTGTACATTCACTTTACCAACTTTGTGAGTAAATTTTCATTAAAATTAATGCAACAATAAAACAAAAATATGTCTATTTATATACAATAATATTGATCAATGGTCCCACAATAACATGCTGCTGATACTTTAATTAAGGTACATTATATGAGAATACAAAAATAACCTGCATATAATGCACCTATCAATGTTAACTCCCAAGGGGGGGGGGGTTGGGCATATGTGGGGTATTTGATCATTAATTGCATCTCCACCCCAGAGATTTCGATTAGCCATAGTTAACTATGGATTAGCATTTGGGCCCAAGTTAGGGCAATTTGAATCAAAATTACTTTTATTAATATAGTATTTATTGCAATTTATTGCAAAATGGTAGGGTATTTGACCAATATTTATTGCCCAACAGTGGGGCATTTGACCCCCCTCTCTGGGGCTTAACATTGATAGGTGCATAAGAACCACCATTTCTCAAACTATATCTGAATTAGTTGTGTAACAGCATTTATACAAAATACTGTTAAAAAAGGCCAAGTGGGCCTTCACTGCTATAAAGGGCATTATATCCAACATATTTTGGCATTATAGGACCAACATTTCCATGGCGTTGTTCTCCAAAGCATCGAGCAGCGTTATAAATCAGATTGTCTTTTTTACCAGCATAAAGTATACAGACATAGCCTTGGCAACAATTGGGATGAGGGACAAATTTAGCATCTGTACCAGGATTAAGTTTTACCAGCCATTTTTGAAACAGGTGGATGAGACGATGAGTAGCTGTTCTTGTTGTCACTGCATGGATTAGTTTTGAAAATCCAGAAGTTATGTCAAGTCATCATATCATATCAGTAACATTACCAGAGAAGTGAACAAGTTTAGAACTCCAAATTTAATGATGATGCTTAATTCTTGCAGACGAAATCATTGACAAAAATAGAATCCTCTAGCCAAAATCACGAATCTCAAATCTAAAACATCAGCCAAACAATGAATTTCACCAATAAAATCTTGTTACAGAAGTGCTTTAAATATTTACATACTTTAACCAATATATATAAATCCATAATATATCGAAACTTCTATAGTATGTCAAATTTCTTTAGAAAAAAGCTCATAATAGCAGTTCATTATCGATCTGAGTGACAAGGCAGCATATTTTACAAAGGGCTATATTCAACTGTGAATATCTCGAAAACGGTTGAGAGGCCGAGGGGGGCCGGCTGGATAGAATTAAAGATTATACTTTTATTTAACTAATCGTGAAAAAAATAGCGAAATCGAACCATGGAGATTTGAGAATTTTGTCTTCAAAGATTGTTGACAGAAACGCCATTAAATTACATCGCGACGGCATAGCGCCTAAGTGAGAGGTCAAAATAAACTGGAAAATGACGCTTACCTTTTAAGATACCATTCCAATGGGTAGATTGACTGTTGTAGAAGTAGTATCGCGTGAAATTTCCCCAAAAAATTGCATAACAATATGAAAAAAATCGATATTTATGAGCCCTATGTAAATTTTATGTCAAAAGCTTCGTGCGAGCATGAGGTAAATGGCGCAATCTGATTGGTCGAGATGTTCGCCTAATTGGCTGTCCAACCTCCTCTGTTTATCTATATAATACCTAAAAAATTCAAAGTATCCAATCTGGGGCCGGTTGTATCAAAGGCGTTTAACTCGCTAACCACCGTTTAACTCGCTATCCGCCGGATAAAATTTAAACGCTCGAGAAATCGCGTTGTATCAAGCCCGTTTAGGGCTATCCACCGGTTAAATTTTGCCTATCCATCGTGTAAACTTATACGGTCTCTTGAGACCGTTTAAATCGCTATACGGCGGATAAACTCGGAGTTTGATGTTAAACAATGATTATTTCGGATGAAAAAGCATGGGATAGTTATAAAAATGCACAATCATGTAGAGAAGTTATCTTTTTAAATCCAATAAACATGAAGAACTCACTTTTCACTGGCTTGGTCTTGAGGTACACTGAGGCTCGCACTGAGGTCACTTGCTCACTTGTAATTCCGTGGCTTTGCTATATTTACGCACACCAGTGTCATGTTTAGATGTTAAGTATATATACTCTGGCTTTTTCTCCTTCTTTTCTTCTATTATATTGTTTGAAAACAACCAGTAAGACTCCCAATTTTAGCTATTGTAAAACAAACAATGACTTTGGAAAGCCAACAAGTATACAAAATAGACAACAAGACGCCGAAAGTCGAAAAAAATTGTTCGCTCGCGTTAATTGCTTTGATCAGCCAATCAAAACTTGGGACAAAATGTTCTTAAAATTGTTTTGAACAAAAGTGCAAGGTCGAGGAACAAATTTCAAACAGTATAAAACTGAATCAACTGACAAAAGCCAAATACAACTCACAGTTTTTGCTATTGCCTTCGACTCTTCGCATAAAGAAGCCAAAAATCTTTAAAGAAATATCCGTAAGTGAATTTAAGTGAATGAGAAACTCAGTAAAATGTGAAAATGAAAAATTTGATATAGATTTGCAGCAACGAATGGACGAGCAAACTCCAAATAAAAACAACAACAAACTTTATTGCAAAAGCTTAGTGGAATCACATGTTAGATGAAGCTTCAAAAGTTTACAAAGGCCTAGCAACAGCTGACGTAGAGGTAGGAAATTTCAAGAGAATCCGGTTTTCTCCGGTTAAATTAAAGGTTATCCTACGGATAGTTAAACGCGGTACTAAACGGGCTTCGTACAACGCAATTTTTATCGGCCGTTTAACTATCCGCTGGATAAGAAATTTATACGCTGGATAGCGGCTAAACACCGTTTAAGTTAAACGCCTCTGATACAACCGGCCGCAGAAAGCTAAGTTAGTACCACATAAGCATAAAATTTATCATCGAATCATGTCTTATACGTCATCGTATATTTGACGCAGCGAGTGTTTCAATCATATCACCCATGTGATATAATACGCGACAAAATAAATGCTAAAAGAGCGAGTTTTCAAAAAGCTAGTTTTTATTGAAAATTTTGAAGAAAGTTTTTAAAACTATTGCAATCAATAGTTCTTGATTTGGTGTGACGCAAGTAGATAAGAGTGGATTTGCTTGATAGTAAATTGATTGCGCTTGTTTTCCGACAAGAGGAAGACTATTCCAGAGTTTGTCCCTTTTTGTTTACAAATTCTTTTTTAGGTCGTTTTGCCAGGGCTAAATCAGTGTGACCATTTTGAAGGTCATAATAAGTTTAAATAAGGCTTTCCCTGGTCAATGATTCTTCAAGTTCTGTCCATGCAGTGTAATCATTCAAGATTTTATACAACAGTATTTTGTACATCATCTTTGATTGTCGATTTGGTTGTGCATGTCTCGCTGTTTTGTCTGGATCA